CACAGTCTAAAATGTTACGTTATGGATTTTGTTTGATACAGAACCCGGCAGATTATGTTTATCAGATATTTAGTTAGGCATTAATTGAGACCCCAGACTAAATTAATTCCAGAATCTTTTTACCTATTGTAGACCATTGGTGAGGATGTCTTTCTAATGTTTAGTTTTTCTTGGTAGAGCCACTTATGAGATGTTATAGGATGAGCTCCCAGGGAGTGGGTAGGAACTTCTGTCCACCACAACCTAACCTACCGTATCCGATCGAATAACACAAGCTAACATGACCTAGGTTAGATGGTTTATGATGGGTAAAAATACTCTTTTCTTTCCATGTTTCGAACTTTAGTAACATATGTACAATTTCCTACAAATTTCCCTATACAACGGGGACAAATGGCGATAAAACACAAAGTAGAGTGTATTAATATAAAATTTGAGACATACAACACCCAATAGAAAGTAATTTTTCAAAACAGCGCGCGAGTATTTTAGATTCAACGAGGCGCTTCTTCTTCGCGTTGTAAAATAACAATGGAGAAAGGGATATTATTCAATTGAATTCACGTCGTGGAAGTTAAAAGTCAAAAGCCGGTCCTGTGGGTGTCTTATAAAGGCCCCCACCTGTCGCGTTCTTTAATCCGTGAACTCTAGCGAAGGCTTCTCAACTATGTCGCGCTTCGCGCTACGTACCTGGTCCGCAACAGTGCTACATTCGATGCTCGGCCAGGAAAATACGTCCTGACAAAAATAAAGCGCGTCGCTTTTCCCGACAAAATATCGAGAAAAAGGAACAATAAAGTCGCCGAATTCGCGTGGCTGGCGACTTCTTGTGCGTGCGTTCGAATCCGGGCGTTTTCCGAGAGATTCGATCGAAGCTCCGGTAGGTACTTAGTGGTGACTGACCCTTTTATCGCAGTAACAAACAGCAGAACAATCGAGGGTAATGGAAAATCTCTGCTGAAGGGTGAGTAGCAAATATTAAAAAACTCGCGGCAGATTTTCGCCTTTTATATTATTATTATATCTGTAATTATAAACGCGCCTAGCATATATATGTATATATTTGTATATCGCTACACGTACACAAAGTTAAATGCCTGCTGCCACACCTGTGAAAGCCACCGTTGGATTTTATGGAAACTCGCGGCAACGCTGTTTGTCAGTATCCGATGAAATCATAAAATCGCTTCTCCCACAATTATTTATTCTGACTGATTTCGTAGAATTGAATCACTACAACGGCGCAATTTACATGAACGAGAGATCTTTCCAGATATAAAATGCTTTGGGTGTGAAATCGATGAGTTTGCAAAGCTTTTTTCGGTCACCACCCCAATGAGAATCTTTTCATAGAATCTACATATGTATTGCCTTTAGTTGAAAATATTCTATTATTACATTAAAAGACGCTTTACATTATCGAAAAACAATACAATTAATAAACTTTTAGCGGTGAAAGCTTGCAGTCGGGAAACTTATCCATAATTTTAAACAAATAAAGTTTCAAGAGCTTTTATCATTGTACACCTCACTACAGTATCATATCACTGTAAAATTTTAAAAATTGCAAGAAAATTATTGCTGGGATACGTACACAGACGTAGTGGTTTCATCAGGTGATAACTGACTAATTTTTATGAAGCTACTGTGTAGTAAAGCAATTGCTGTGTTCCCTTTTTCTTGAAGCTTTTGCTGTTTTACTTCAGTACATTATTGATAAGTTTCAATAAATATCAGCATTTACTATTATAAATAATATAGGAACTGCAATATTGTTTCACCACACTGTGGTACCATCAGGGGTCAATCATGTCCTGATGAAGCTTTTGAAATTAATACTTTAATTTAATTAGACGTTAATTAGTAGTATATTTTTTCTTATAATTTTCGTAAATCAATCTCCCAAAAAGACACTGACAAAATGATTTATAATAGACTTGGCAAAGAATTGACCGATAATACTAGCAAAAGTGTTAAATTGACCTCCCCAGCTTAAATTCCTTTGTTCGTCTTAGTAACTGAGTAACTTTTAAGGGCGTAAGATTGAAACAGGTATACGAGACCAGGTAGACAAACAAACCCTTTCCTGTCTGGCCATCAGGTGCCGGTCTATTTACATAAAAGCACCCTCAGCTACCGGGGGGTTTCACCACCGCCACCTTTTTACGTAACAATCATCGGAGGTAGAAATAGGGGAAAAAACCGTTATAACCTTTAGAACAAAACTTGTCGTCCCAATAAAATATTGCTATACTTTTATTGCAACTGTCTGCATTTAATAATGTAGCACAAACAATAAGGATAATTAGGTACTTTAGTTTTATTTATCATAATTTACTTTATTTAAAAGAAATTTCACTTTCCATTAGACGGATTTTTTCGAAAATACGCTCAATAAACAGTATTTCTATTTGTAATTAACGCCTTTCTCTAAGAGAAATTTCTTACAGGGTACAATAACAAAACGAAAGTATTTTGATTGAGCGAAAGAATTTTGAGTGAAATTGACTTTAAACGATTAACAAATAAGCAATTCTAAATCAATTAAGTATTATTTTAACTGAATTATTAAAATCTACCTACAAACTACATAGCAGAGAATACAAAACTTGTTGTATTCTACAATAAATCTTTAACGGCATATGTTTTGCAATCATGTGAACAAAACTAGGTCAAAACAAATACACAAAGCTATACTGTACTTATATATGTACATGTTCATTTGCGGAAGAAATAAAAAATGAGAACGAATTATCAATAAGAATTATAATGTTTTCATTTGTTTATAGCTTCCTGAAACGTCTACCAAACGTTCAACAAATTAATTGAATTAAATTACACAGACCATTATTTTCTTTTAAAGGTACAGGACAAACTTGAGGAATTGTCCGATCCTGTGTCTTTAGGAAACGAAAATCTTACAGAAGAAATTGTTTCTCGTTGTAACAAATCCCTAGTAAAAGAAGCAAAAGAACTTGCAGACCTTCTATCAAAGCCGCACGTGAAGGCCGTCATAAGAACACACGATACTATTGGTGAAAAAAGACTAAAATTTAACGAAAAAATAAACAGCAGTTCGAATATATGCAACATTATGACCGGCGAAGCTTTACGAGTAGTCGGGGTGAGGAAGAAACCTGGAGAACCCCTAGGTTTAACTGTAAGTGTAGATGCGAGGTGACAAAGTCTTCATTTACAAATTTGTCGCTAATTTGTTACCATATCCAAAAATTTGTCACTCCAGTCAGCTGCTGGAAAATAGACAAAATGTTTTCCTGATTGTCGCCAGTCTAAACCTTTAGCTATTTAGGGAACTATACATGGCATAAAGAAATACTGTATGGACCGTTGTTTGTCGCTGAAAGATGGTCGTTTTATCTATTCTGTCGTTAGTCTTGTTCTCCAGCTGTTCAGCGAAAAAGGACTGGAGAACTCTCAAGTTGAAACTAAAAATAGTGTAATGGCATAGAGAAATACGGTAAGGGCTTTAATTTGTCGCTGAAAGATGGTACCTTTTACCCATTTTGTCGCTAGTCTTATCTTCCAGCTGTCCAGTAAAAAACGACTCGAGAGCCGCCAAACTGGCATCAGACATGGAGTAGGTATCTCGGAATAGAAATGACGTAGAGAAATACTGTAAGAGATAAAATTTGTCGCTGAAAGACGATATTTTAACTCATTTTGTCGCTAGCCTGATCCTCCAGCTGTTCAGCAAAAAAATTTCTTATTTTTAAAGTGTACTATAATTTGTCGTTGGATAATAGACAAAATGCTGGTATTTTATTAAGCCGGCGGTACACATACCATACCTAGAAATAGAAATGACGTAGAGAAATACTGTAAGGGCTATAATTTGTCGCTGAAAGACGATATTTTTACTCACTTAGCGATAGCATATCTTGCACCTGTTCAGCGAAAAATTAATTGAGAATTGTCAAAGTGGCGCTACACATCTACACATATTGTATCTCGAAATAGAAATGAAATACTGTAAGGGCTACAATTTGTCGTTGCTAGTCTCATCCTTCAGCTGTCATAGATAGTGCACCTTGAAATAAAAATGACGTAGATAAATATTATAAGGACTATAATTTGTCGTTGCTAGTCTCATTCTTTAGCTCTCCGGCGAAAAATAACTTGAGAGTCATCAAGCTGATACCATACAAAGTGCACCTAAAAAAATTGACGTAGATAAATACTGTAAGGGCTACAATTTGTCGTTGCTAGTTCCATACTTCAGCTATCATACATAGTTCACGTCGAAATAAAAATAACTTGAGAGTCATCAAGCTGATACCATAGACAGTGCACCTAACAAAATTAACGCATAGAAATACTGTAAGGGCTACAATTTGTCGTTGGAGCTACAGATCTACATACACTATATCCTGAAATAGAAATGCTACAAAAATTTCTGTAAGGGCTACAATTTGTCGTTGCTAGTCTCATCCTTCAGCTGTCAGGCGAAAAATGTCTTGAGAACCGTCAAGGTGATACTATACATAGTCCACTTCGAAATAGAAATGACGTAGAGAAATGCTGTGAGGGCTATGATTTGTCGTTAATTTGTCGCCGAAAGATGGTTCAACCTCATTTCTCATTCGAAATACTCGTATGTGTTGTACACTTTACCGGCTTTTCAGGCGTGTTTCGCTGGACAGTTGGAAAATGGACTAAAGACAAAATTGATAAAAGTTGCATTCTTCAGCTGCAAATAAACTATAAACAAGTTAAGCTACCTAATTATTGTTTACTTTACCTGTTTATTTCGATTTATAGTTTGTCCTACAATGTTTATTCAGTATAATGTTTATTTCCTCAAAATACTTTTTAAGGTTCCCCGGTATATATTTTTCATAAAGAGAAATAATATTCTAATAATATTATTTCATTGGTCACATCCAACACAAAGCTCGAATAGCCTCAAGGACATCAAAACTAATCAACTGCCTAGGCAGATGTATTAATCTAATTAGGTTGTCTTATTGTCTTATCGTGTTACGACGTGTGGAACGGGCGATGTCATTGTCGTTTTGCATTAATAAAATTGTGTTTTAGTCGATTTTAGTGAACGACTAACGGGGTAAACAATCGCTTAGTTTCGCAAATTTAGTTGGTATACTGGTTGTAGTCATTATCATCCTGGATTTGTGTTTTAAAAGGAAAATCGTCACAAAGGATCGCAGAGAAAATTACGTATTGATTAGGTGAGTCATATAATAATAATAATTACTGTAATTTTCGTATTCTTTACAAAGAAACAGGGTTTCTGAATGGTTTGTGGGAAATGAAATTTATAATTATTTTTAAGGAGTTATAGCACATCCAGATCATGCGAAAAAATAACTACCCCTGTATCAATTACCTATTCATTAATAAAAGCAATTAAAACATCTACATGAAAAATTTCATTTATAATACGAGTACTTTTTTTGATTTTTATTTTTTCTAATTTATGATGATGTATGTGCTTGAGGTGTGCAGGGGTGTGTTAAAAAATAAAGTACCATACACACCCTTACAAGTCTAACTGCTGTAGGAAACATTTTTGAATTATCTCAACCGAACTTCTCGAGAATGTATCTGAAATATCGACAACATTTCGTTTATCTGTCTTTCCTTTTCGTGATATAAACGACTATCCACCCTTTATTTACATTCCTTTTATTTTCGCTTCGCCGGTGAAAACAATTTCCAGCTGATTTCAAATAAACACGAAAATGATTCGAACAAACGAGAACCTTTTCTTATAAATAAAAGGAAATAACAGAACGCGAAAAAAACTGAAGAGGTTCATATGTTTCGCATACTTTCCTTTATACATATACCTAAAAATAGTAACATTTACAACAACTTGTGTTGCCTCAATAAAAGGCATTTTTATGGTAATCAATAAATATTTACAAAGTGTATGTAACCAACAAGTTAAAAACGTTAAGTAATATTTTGATATTTACCCTATTATGGTTGGTGACCTGTCTATCATCGAATTGTAAGTTATGGAAACTTGTTGCTTCGATGATATAAAGCAAAAAGATTTTTATGGTATATTTTAAAGCAAATTGTAACGTTGTACCTAACAATAACGTTAATAATTGTCTGTATTCAGTAAATCCTAAAGAAGATGAAATATAATTTAACACAAAATTATGAAATAATTTATATCTACTTAAAAATTGTGAATTTTTGAATTATTGTAAAAAAATCTTCAATATTTCGGAATTAACACTCATGTCTTTCAATCATGTTGGTGTTTAAGTTTAAGGCATTTTAAAGTTATGACTTTTATTGAGAATTTATAACTTTTGTTTAAATAAACTACAATTTGAAATATACTGCGGTGAAGTAGCGGAGAAACTTATTAAAGTATAATCTTAACTTTAATATTACAAAGTGTAGATACACTGGGAAAAGTCTTTGTAAGTAGTCTTCAAGTGCACTTAAAAACATATGATGCTACCTGCTTGGAAAGAAGAAAAATCATTGAATCGGTACTTATAACTGTTACAAAAGCTTGCAGGCCTTTATTGTTTTTAAGAACAAATACTAGCGAATTATGTTCTCCTACCCTAATATTTAAGAGAAACGTTTTATTTTAAAGAATGAATGAAATGTTCCGTAAGTTCAATCAAGTTCTTATCGCTGATTCGGAAAAGTAATTTGATCTGTTATTGACGAATAACTCTCGTGCCCATTATTATTTTCGGAGAATATCCAATAAAACGGCCTCATATTTACCGTTTAAAGTCTGTGCCTGCGCTATCTTAATTTAAAATTTCGCACTCTGAATCAGATTTTACGGCTGGAATTTCAATTCTATCCATGCCAGATGGAAATCTCGACCGAAATGAGAAAACGAATCCAATAATTTTCGCATCGGTTCTACGACGTCGACCTCGTCGCCGTCGTCGTCGTAGGTAGTAAGACTTTCCGTCGATTTCCTTTCCCTTCAATTGCGAAAACCGACTTTCACTCAATAATATTCTGAATGTTAAATTGAATTGTCGTCTTTTAGGTGTGCTTAAAGAAATTTATTACGCGTTAACTGAGCAGCAATGCACAACCTATACGCTGTGCTTTCGAACTTTATAAAATAAACTTCACTTTGACGTGACGGAATGCCTCACTACAATCAATTCAATTCCACGTTTGTATTTCTCCACATCGCATGCTTATAATCTATTCCATTCTCGTAGCTTTAGGGTATTTTTGATAAACGAATTCAATCAACTTCATTACTAACACCAAGCCTGCATTTTCCTGGAATCTTTTGTTTGAGAAGTGATAATTATGTAAAAAAGGATCATGTTCCAGTGTGGTGTAAAGTAGGCATTTTCCAGCAAAGCATTATTTTGCCTAAAATAAGTTAATCAATATCATCATCATAAGGTCGTCAGTCCTAAGACTGGTTGGACACGCACCTCCACTCTTTCCTATCTTGAGCTAATCTTCGCATTTCCCTAAAACTAGAACAATCCGCATCCTTAACTATTTGTGAACAGTAATCTAACCTAGGTCTACCCCTACTTCTCCTAACTCCTGTTTCTGCCTCTAATATGTCTCTGACTAGACCTTTATGCCTGAGAAGGTGTCCTACCAACCTATCTGAGTCTATAGAGTCCTCTATTCTCTTATTATTTCTAATATCTCTTCATTTCTAACCTTCTCTATCCACGGTATCCTCATCATTCGCCTGTAACACCACATTTCGAACGCTTCTAACCTTTCTTTTCCACCGCGCACCCTGTCCATATTTCGCACCCGTACAGTTCGTGTTCCAAACATACACCTTTAACAATCTTTTTCGAATTTCTAAATTAACCGTTCGCGAGCATAGAAGTGACTTCTTTTTATTAAAGGCGACACGACCCTGCGCTATCCTCTGCTTTATATCCCTACCACTCCTTCCGTCCTGTCTTATCTGACTTCCTAGATATCTAAAATCAGCCACTTCTTCTAATTTTTCGTCTTCTATCTTTATATTCGCTCTTTCCCTACTTATTCTTCCCTTACACACCAGTATTTTAGTTTTACTTTTATATGCTTTCATACAGTACTGATCTGTCAGTACCGCTTCCATTTTATTTAAAGCTATCTCCAAGTCCTCCTTGCTAGATGCTAATACTGCTATATCATCTGCAAATCTAAGCATACTAATCTATTGACCCTGTATATCTGTCCCTACAGTTGTACTGTCTTTAAAATAAGTTAATAAGTATTTAGAATAATTTAAACAAAAAAAGGCGCTTGTAAAATTATTGAAAAATCGAAGGTATTTAGTAAGCTTTGAGGAGTGATAATTGTGTAAAAAAAGTACGAAAAATTTCATGGTGCCAACGATTTTGGACCCCTGTGTCAAATAGGTACTATCGGTTATTATTTATAAAAAAGCGCTCGTAAAATGATTGAAAGTTGCAAGATATTTATTAGGCTTTAAATGTATGTTTTGTTTTAGTACATCCCAATTCATTTCACTCATTATTGGTACATAAACAGCTATAAAAGGGAGAACACGTGTAATACAAATTAATTTTAATAGGAACTAATTACATTAATACAATGGTTCTGCAACAGCTGGATTATATATCTAGTATACGGTAATTAATAAGACCAAAATTGTAATTTACATATTGTGGTTTGAAATAGTAGTTTATATTGATTAGAGTGTTCATGTAATTAACTGCAATCAATTGCTAGATACTTGGCTGTAGGGTAGCAGCGTCCAATTATTGTAATCTAAGCAATTTAACAAATTAGGATACTTAATAGTAATTTTGTTTTACGTCCACGTACACATAAAATAGTTTAGCATATCTATTTCACTTTTACTCGTCGAATAGTTTTATTTTCTTCTTAGGGATCGTGTGATAACGCTCCTTGATGAAATTGAGAATGCAGACGTCCTCTTTAGTTATAGAGTTCTCTGTTTGAGTATGATAGGTTCATCATTGAGTGAGGGTGACGATTTGTAAAAAGATTACAATGATGTGCTTTCATACTTTCAAACTTTATTGTCAGATGGTTTGTTCTCTTTACTGTCTTTAAGTTCTTCTTAAAACTCATGTTGGTACATCGTGAATTTAATTTCACCTATTTATATTCTTGTAAATGATTGATATACACACATTATATTCAACACGACTGTATAGGAAACTGTGAATGTACTATGACATTATCTTTAGCCAGTTCCGTCTGTCCAATAAGGAAATAAGTTCAGTGTTTACAAAAGCTGCTGCCGACTGCGTAAATTGCTTTATCAAAGACAAAATCGATGCTCGTGATACTGAAATCGAAAGAGCATTCTATTTATTTAGCACTACGAAATTCTAATGGCTGCGCCAGAAATGAACAGCAAGCGGGATGGAAGATCTCATTTCTAATTTATCCAGCAAGGAGTTGTACATGCTGTTGAACGCTTGACGACGCCAGCAATGGAAGAGAGACGTGAATGCTCATTATAATGACAATAACGTCTGTATATTTATCGTTTTACATTTTTCGTAGGTAATTTTTATAAAAAGTTATTAGCACTATACGCAGTACGCTGTTTGCTTGGAGATGAATTTTTCTTAGTCACTCATCTACTGATTCACAAATCTATCGGTACCCGATTATTTGACAGCATCCTTGATGGTGTTCTTCAAAGAGGTGGTTGCTAACCGTCGTTTATTGTAGTGATGCTTGATCCAAAGTGCGTAATCTAAGGGATTGAGATCAAGGTTGTCGCTTGATCAGTTATTAAAGAGGAAAAAATGCCTAAACATTGTCCTCCAAACATCTCTGATTGAGATTTGCTTTGTGAACAGGTAGCGACTCATTTAGTAGTTATTATTATGCATTTTCTACATTTCAATGATTGCGTTGGATTTTCCAGCAAGGCTCGGTGTCTTTACTCAATGAAAACTTCAATAACTGATGGTTGGAAGACATTGTTTTAGCATTCATATCCCCCAATGCGTGGCCGAGAGGCAGCCCTGATCTTAATCCATTTAGATTATGCACTGCGGGCCCCACTTCAACCGTTAGCACTTAACGACCACCTCGTTGAAGGAAAAGTAAAATACAAGTACTTTTTGCAAAAATAATGTTGTAGATTAGTACTTACTTGATAACAGTTTTTAAAACTTGTGAATAATTAGTCTTTTTAAGTTTATGAACCAATTTGCATGTTAATTTTAAACCAACAAGTTCTTGCAAATTTCATTTG